ATGAAGTTTCAGCCCAGGTGTGTGGTTATTACCTTTAATTTCCTGGTCTCTGTGGGCTTGTCAGTAACATTTTACCAGACTGGTTGCGTTTAAATATATGTCAGAGCTGACACAAGAGGCAGCAACATCTCAGCAGTGTATTATTTACCCTGGAGTATATGCTGTAAATTGTAATAGAAATATATCATTACGTATACATTAAAGTGCAATTTGTTTTGATGCTCCTGGAGTTCTCTCACAAATAATATCAGCTGGAGGAGGAATGAGATCCATCTGAGCTTAGACGTGTTGCAATGACTTCTGAGGAAGTCGGACTGTTCATTCTCACCAGGAAATGCTGACCCTCAGGCTGGACAGTCACCTGCAAAGTTCGTTTTTGCCAGCTAGCTTTAGCTCTCTTCATTTTGCATGACACCTGGACGGTGCCTGGTGACTTACTAAAGCATCCAATAAAGGTGCAGGAAATGCCATGTGGGAACTGAGAGCAGAGACCTTGTGCTCCGCCACCGTTTTGCTCCAGAGAACCACACTGTCGCCAGAACTAGATCAAGTTTAGCCAAGCCCCAAGATACCTTTGTGCAGAGCCTTTCTTGGTTCTTGGCCCTCACCTGAAGTCTGCTTGTAACAACCAACATAGAGACAGGGTGAAAGAAACAGACAATTTTTAAGGTGGACTCAAGGCACGAGTTACGAGTTTCTATAGGGCATTGAGCTGGCAGGGTGTTATGTTTCAGGGGTCATAAGGAGGATGTTGTGTTTACGGACACAAAGTCCTTTTATATTATTATCCAGCCCATGGGTACATAATCACCTGCTACTACAGAGCAGCTGGTGGTAAAAGCAAGCAGCGCAGCGTGAGCTGGGAGCAAGACATCTCTCACACAGCATCACCGTGCCTGTGTGTATAGTCTGGGAGTTTTACTCAAGATTTAGCCTTCCACGGTACAGGTGACGTTACTGCGCTACTAACAGGCACAAAGAAATAGGAATTAGTGCAGAGGTATCCGGAGGTGGTCTTCAGCGTGCCTTCATGCAGCCACTTTTCCCTGCTGGGCTGGCAGCTGTGGCTGTGTTGTCCCTTGGAAGAGAAGAGCTGTGGCTGTTGAGCTGAAAACCGGCAGTGGTAAGTGGTACTTGGAAGATGCCAGATTGGAGTGGGAGCACGAAGAAGTCGAATTTGGCTGTTTAGTGGCCTAAGTAAATGGGATGAGAGTTGGCTGTGTCTAGTTCAGAATACTGCATACTACCATTAGAGTAAACAGCCTCTTAATCAGGAGGTGTGCTACAGTGTGATTACCCAGCAGGTCACAACTGGAAACTCAATGGCCAAATGTTTACAGGCATTAGAGGCTCATAAGGATACAGAGGGCCACCAAATGGCATTTTCAGAAGTGACTCTCATTACTTAGATTGCAGTAAAATCCATGGGAATCAGACAGTGAAGTACTTCTTTAATGCCTCCCTGAGAAAACTCTGCAAGGTGCTTGTTTTTAATGGGTGCCCATGTGCTCCTTAAAAACCTGGCTGCCGGAGATGTCCTCTCCTGTGTAAGGCTTAGCAACAACAAATAGCAGAAGTGGAAGAAGAATTAAGACACAAATGCTGCAGGGTTTGGGCTCTCCCTGTGTAATACCTGTGTGTGGCTGTATTTGCATGTCTGGTGCCACAGAAGGATGGATCACACAGAAACATGCCATCAGAAAGGATGTGGCACACGGACCTCCCAAAAGGTATCAAAGCAGAGAACAAAAAAATCAGAGCATCATCTCGGATTCCCTTTCCCCTGAACAGATGAAGAGGAAAGGAGAGCATGTTTAATACCTTGTTCCTTAGATCACAGTAGCAAAAGTACAACCTGGCTCCAGGGCTAAATAAAGAAGGAAAACAAACTAAGCCCTGCTACCAGCTGTGATGGAGAAAGGCCTACTGTGTTCTCCAGGAGGATTATTAGTGTTACCAGTAGCTGGGGAGACCCACATAAAGTTGTAGGAATGGAAAGGTATACTTCCAACAAAGGTAATCAAAAGTATGAAGAAATAGAATATTATTCTTTCACAAAATTCAGTCTCTTCAAAATCCTATTGCAAATATTATCTTGCGACATAATCTAGCAACATTGTATCTTATAATATGAGTTAATTAGTGATACATAGGAGAGAGAACAGGAGCTTGAAAGAGGAGGGTTAGAAAGCCTTCACCAACTGTGTCAGGGACTGTAGTTTAAATGCAAAGTGGTGAACATTCAAATGCATAGTAGCAATCAGGCAGCCATGAGGGAATTCATCAAGGAGCATAGAGGCGGATGAAGCTGCAGAGAACACTTGTGAGAAAGTAAATGCCAAGATGTGAACAGAGGAGCTGAATTCAGTGGAGCGGAAGGCCAGTGGGTCCTGTGGAGTAAAACCTGATGGTGAAAAGTGGGGTCATAGGCAGACTGGCTAGTACACCATCGTGTCAAAGCCTGCAGGGGAGAGCAGCTAAAGAAAAGCTGAAGCACAATCAGGAAACAGGCACCGATTTAGAGTTTGGATGCATACACTAGGCTGTGCAAAGTGGCAAAATCAAACTGTTTGTAGGGTCCAGGCTGGCACCAGATGCGGCAATATTACAGTAACAGGCCATGGGCAAGAAACTGAATGTCAGACGGATACAAAGCATGCAGGACTATGGAGATTTCATTGGGATTATTCAAAGAAAGCAAGCAACATTGTCATCTAGCAACACTGAATGACAATTACATGATGTCTTCATCCCTAGGACTGTATGTTAGTACAAGCGTAATAGCACGTAGAAAGTCCTTGGGCTCATGCTTCTAGTAATAGAGAAGACGCAGAGGCCACCACTGTGCAACCAGGCAAATAGATGATGCTCAGACAGCTGCGCTGCTCTCAGGGCTTGAGCTCGTCTCTGTGCAGAGTCAGGCTGCTTAGCCCAGGGTGCCTGCAGCGGGCACTCCCGGCTGGGTTCGCCGCAGCTCTCCAAACTCTGCCTTCACTGAGGTGTGCCGAGAGGATCGTAGGAGCTAAGGAAGTGTCTTACACCGCTGTGATCTTCTCTGCCTTTACAGTTGCACCCTGAGGCTATTCAATCAGCTCTGTTTTTTTCATGAGGTAAAAACAAAGTGGTTTGTCCTACCAGAAAAGGGTGGGGACCAATCTGTTTTCTGTTTTCTTGGAGGCAATTTCTCTAGCTCAGAGCAGGCATACACTGGTGAGACACAATGAAGAAGTTTGAACCAGCCAATTTCTCACTTACCCCTTGGGTGAGACAGTTGCCAGATCTCTCTGCCCAGCATCTTCTGCAATCCCTAACCCCATTAACCTGCTCAAAATAATAAGTGAGGGATCATTCTCCAGCTATCCCTACATTTTTGGGCGGGTTGTTTTTTTATCTGTAAGATGATCTGATCTCACTGACGTGACAGACAGGATTAATAAAGCCTTAGTCACAAAACTGGGAAGAATGCTTACTTTTACACACAGGACTAAAAGCTGCCTGGAACCTTCCTTGTTTGAGCAAGCAGCCAGAAAATGAGGCGAAATAATGAGAAAAAAGGAGATGTACTTGTCACTACAAATTCGTGATTGAGCATAGATGTCGGTGGGAGAGGAGACAGCTTGCTGCTTGTTGCCAAAAGCTATGGAATCACAGAGCAGTGTCTTCATATTTTGCTGCATGATTTCCTAATAATATTGTGTTGATATACAGCAAAGCAATACAGTTTAGCAATGCACTATCGAGACCTGGCACTGTAATAATTTTATGGGCTTCTTTGGAATGAGGTGACCTTGAAATCTATTAATTAAGTAGCGATGTGTGTCTTGGTTTAATTTAGTGTCTTGGTTTAATTCAGTGTCATTTGGAAGTGCAAAAGATGTCCCTATGTTTCTGTTCCCAAAATAAATCAATATTTACTGTTAGCATTTGGAAACAGAAAAACTGCGCTAGAGGTCTGTGAACTCCTCAGAATCTTTGTTGTATGTAACAGGCTCTGTCTGAACCTGCAATTTGTGCATAAACTTTCGATCCTCCTTTGTGGAGCCATTCTGCGTACAGATGCGCATGATTAGACTTACCAAAAAAGCTTTTTGCTCAAGTAAACCATTACAAGTCCCATCAGCCCAGCTCTGCCCTGTCTTTGCAGCAAAGATCTGTCGCTACAGGCCTTGGCATTACTTCAGGAGAAGTTTCCACTCAGGATTCAATTTTGACATAGATGAATGAGGACTTTGGTGAGACAAGTCAAAAGAGTTTGCCCTACTTACTTTTGCTGAGCATTAAGCTTTGAAAAATGAACGATTGCATTTAGAATTGCCTTTCAACATTAATAGCTGGAAAAGATCTGCCCAGTTCTCTGTGAGAGTGGGGATTTATTTGCTGTGGTAAAAGTGGAGTGGACTCCTACTTTCTCTGTTCAGAGGCACTCCTGGTTTGGGTTGTGTTGTCACCTTTTTCTTAAGAAGAAGAAGAAGAATTTCTGATGATAAAAGATCTTTTTATCATCAGAAATTTTCCTGATGATAAAAACAGCATACAGAGATGAGACTGCATTTTGGAAATTAAATAATATCTTCTTCTCCATAGATCCATTAATCATTAACCAAAAGAGTATAAATTTTAAAACAAGCTTTTAAGGGGAAAAGGTTACCTTTACCAAAGAAGGTACTATTGCAGACGTATATGTGTTGAGCTGATTTTACAAAGCAGTCAAATAGTTTTGAGTTGTAAAACTTTTAAGATCTGCATACAAGGTACAACTAAATTTCTCAGACAGGTATATGGAAAAGCTGTTAATAACCTAATATCCCTTGTGTCAGAAATGTATTTTTGGAATATGTAAGACTAAAAGATGTCTTTTTTTAATGCAGTATCGTGAAGTTAGAAAGTCTGGGAATTGATAAAAGATGTGATTTTTCTCCTCTGTGCCTTCACCCCATAGCATTTTAGGAAATGGTGGGCTTCGTTTTGTTCCTCATGTGTTCTTCTTCATGTATTTTCAGGATTCCTCTTCAATTGGAACATCCACAGTGGCTGGTCCCAGGACAAGTGCAATAACTGGAGATCAGGGAACACCACCGAAGGTCCAGCTCCCCCTCAATATGTAAGCAGCTCATCTCAATCACTGCGTACTCTTTGTTTCCAATCGTGTGTGTGTGTGTGTGTGCGCATGTGTTTGAGATCTGAAAGCCTGAATCTCAGCACAGGAGCATTCTGAGAAGAGAGATCGCAATCTCATACATGACCCAGCCTCTGCTGAAATCGAAAAACTAGTAGAGAAAGGCAAGGCTTCCTCCTTTCTCTATGAGACCTTTTAGGCTCCTGGTATATTTATTACAGCTGTATGAATCACTGTGAAGCAAACAGATTGCTTCCCAGCTAGAGAAAATCTTCCTTCATTCAAAGCTCTTAAAAAGATGTAGTCCTATGCAATCAGACACCTGATACATTCATCATTAACCAGAAAAAATGACTCAATTGCATTTTTTCAGTGCCATAAACAAAGAAAACAAATGAACTTTGTATCATGGACATATGAGCTTATCAAATAGTATGTAGAATAACAGAACACAAAGAGTAGATTTTGTTACAATAAATGTCTTCTAGCCTAGTTAGTTCATCTGATACCTGTCTAGTTAAACTACTGAACCCTTTCCTCTCATCGCATATACCTGTGAAAGTAGTAGAACTATATAGACACACACACATATGCACACCAGTATTTTAGGGATTTATGATATGGCTAAAACAAGGTCTGAATTCACAAATAAAATCTTGAAATATCATAGCAAATTTGCTTTAAGGACAATAGAAGAGTTGGAACAGAACCAAAACAAATTTGTTCTTGGCTACGAAGGTGAGATCTTCATACCTGAGGGGTACCACACATCACTGACTGCCTCACAGAGACGTCTCATCATCACCCTGTGGTCACCTTGTGCGGCTTGTGTGGCACAAATTTATTTCAAATGTTGCCCAGGCTAGGAAGTAGTAACTGGCAGTATTTCCAGTATTTAATTGCTGAATCAAGACATTTTTCAGCTCTCTGGCAATGCCCCTGCCTCCATGCCCCAGCAAGCCTCCACTTCTCCCTCTCATACTTCTCCTGTCGTCTCCTCCATGAAGCAGTCTTGTAATCCAGTCTGTCATTTTGCATTTATGAGCCAAGTTCCAGTCAAAGAGGAAGCGTTATCCATAAGCTGTAGCAGAACAGAGGAGGTACAACCCTAGACAGAGCCCTGGGGCTCCTGCATTATCAGTCAAGTCATAGGCAGCTCCTCAAGGCCAAGAACATGAGCTACCTTCTCACTCAAGCCTTTTTGAGGGAACTTTTTATAAAGATTTTGACTTCCTCTAGGTCCTGCTCCCTAACCCTTAGCCTTACTGTTTCACATAACCCAGAATAACTTGCTATTACATTCTGCGAGATTTCACGTTGTTGTTTTAACACTTTCTTCTTGATTGTAGAGAGTTTGCTGGTGCAGTTTCACACCTAAAGTCTAGAGAACGGTGAAACATGTCCAAATGCAAAGACTTTGACTTAAGGCAAAATCAGCCTCAGCAAATGGGACCACTATCCCTGATCCTCTGCCAGAGGAAAAGCCCAGAAACACCTTCTGAGGAGGGAAGCTCCTTGCACTCAAATTGTTTTCAGCCATATGTGACAGCAGGCATCCTCCCAGCTCTCCTGCAGCCTTCTCTCTGCCAGCATACAGAGTGTATGCCTCTCCCCATGGGGCGGGCATACCTGCCACAGCCAGCCAGCAGACCCAGGCTGGGTTGTTGCTGGGTTTGGAGAATTGAGGCTTTGGGCAGCCTGGTGTAGTGGAGGATTTCTCTGCCCATGGCAGGGGGATTGGAACTAGATGATCTTTAAGGTCCCTTCCAACCCTAACCGTTCTATGATTCCGTGATTCTATGGAATGGTTTGGGTTGGAAGAGACCTCAAAGATCATCTAGTTCCAACCCCCCCTGCCATGGGCAGGGACACCCTCCACTACACCAAGTTGCTCAATGCCTCATCCAACCTGGCCTTGAGTACTTCCAGGGATGGGGCATCCACAACTCCTCTGGGCAACTTGTTCCAGTGCCTCACCACCCACCCTCGCCTCTTTGCAGACTTATAGAGGAAACTCCCAGAGATGGCCATCCTCACTGTCCTATGCAGGTGGTGGGATCACCAGTCCATCAACAAAGTACTGATCACCTCTGTTGCTCCAGGGTCGTGATATGTGGTTATCACATTCAAGTTTTCATCAGTTTAGCAATACAGACATTGGTCAGTTTTGGTGCGGAGTCCAGGCTGGGCTGTTGTACACCTTCTTTTAGTCTCTGCAAGGATTTTGATACTCTCTCTGAAGAATGTTTAGGCTCATTGTGATACTGGTTATTCAGGCTTACTGGAGGCTCAATTTGGGGAATTTGTAGGGAGGAACAGAAAGAAACTAGTAGGAGAGCTGAAGATAGCTGCAAGGGAATGCAGCCTCTGATCCACTTAGGGTAATTTTCCTTGCACTTTCTTACAGCATCTCAACCTGTAAATTATATTATTATGTGTAGCCTCCTGGGGAAAGGGCTATATAAGTCTATCTAAAATGCTCTGTCCTTGACCCCCCACTTTACCCATACCTTCTGAATATGAGCCCTGTGTGAACGGCAACTTAAAAAGCGGTAGTCAAAGCCACTCTTTCTGCTCCCTGGAGTGAGTGCAGTCTTGGCATTTTCCTTTATGTCCTAGCAGAGCACTGTGCTGAAGGATTAGCACTAAAACACCCAACCATATTTCATGTCAGGGTGATGCATTTTAATGTTCTTCAGTTCATATATAACCTCATGTTTTCCATCAGGTGAACAGCTACAGACCTGCTCAGGACCACCTGATTATATGAGCTAAACAAAGGATGTGCAGGATGGTTTCTCCCATCTGTTGACTAATGAAACAGTTTCTGATTAGGTCTTTGTACCCCATGCACGTGGTAAACAAAGCCAGGCACATCAGCCTAAGGATGCCCCAAGGAGCTGTTACCAAATATTTCGTATTCTGCTCATTACTGCTGTTTATTTACTGCCTTCAGAATAAAAATAAGGAAATCTACTGATGCCATAAAGGAATAGAATCAGGAAAACTAACAGGATTTATTCCTCAATTATATTTCCTGGAGAGCAGAAGTAAAAAGCTATATATCATTTTTACTGACTGTGAGTCTACAATCACAATGGTTATGGTTTTCATTATTTCTCTGGTTCGTTGCTATAAGGTGGGCAGCAAGCCTTTTCTCACCCACCCCCGAGCCTAAGAGCATCCTGCTGCACTTTGTAGTGTAAATGCACTTTCCATAAGTGTTTCCCCATTTGTCTTAGTCTCTCTGCACTGCCTGTAATGCACAAAGCAAAAAAAAAAAAAAAAAAAAAAAGGGGTACAACCTTGATCAAGAATTACCAGAAATCCTTTTTGCATTTGTGGAAAGGCGACATGACCAAAATAAAATTGGTATTCACAAAGAAAGTGTTGTTCCGTGTGTGCGTTCTTGCTATCCTATCCTAACTTTCCATTATTCCCGAAAGTGCAAGCAATCATTCTTAATTTTCAACAAGGATCTTTCTAAACAGAGAGAATACCTTTAGGGACTTTAAGTTGTAGTCATTTCACAGTATTAGACACATCCCTGAAGTAGTGACGGAAGAACAAAAGAGAGATAAAAAGGAAGATTCTAAAGAAAGTGAATAAATAAAAGCTGTAATTAAATAAATAAAAAGTTCTACATATTGGGCCCTGGATTAAATATTTATTAGAATACTAGCATAGAAAACATCCAAAGCCAAATTCTACCACTTCACTTACTTAAGCAAAAATTCCCTTGCGGAATTTGGCCCTCTGTCACTTTTTGGTTTGCCCACTCAACAGCATGGCCAGCAGGTCAAGTGAGGTGATTCTGCCCTTCTACTCTGCTCTAGTGAGACCTCACTCCTACTGCCTTCAGCCCTGGGGCCCCCAATATAAGAAGGACAGGGAGCTGTTGGAGCAGGTCCAGAGGAGGACCACAAAGATGATCCAAGGGCTGGAGCGCCTCTCCAATGAAGAGGGAGAGGGGTTGTTCAGCCTGGAGAAGAGAAGGCTCCAGGGTGATCTTATAGCAGCCTTCCAGTACCTGAAGGGGGCCTGCAAGAAAGCTGGAGGGGGATGTAAGGATGCGCTTACATTAAAATGGCATGTAGTGATAGGACAAGGGGCAATGGCTTTAAACTGAAAGAGGGGAGATTTCGATTAGATCTAAGGAAGAAATTCTTCGCCCTGAGGGTGGTGAGACACTGGAACAGATTGCCCAGAGAAGTTGTGGATGCCCCATCCCTGGAAGTGCTCAAGGCCAGGTTGGATGAGGCTTTAAGCAACCTGGTCTAGTGGAAGGTGTCCCTGCCCATGGTAGGGAGGTTGGAACTAGAGTATCTTTAAGGTCCCTTCCAACCCAAACCATTCTATGATTCTATTATAAGAAGTACCATACCGAATCAGAAGAGTTCAGTGTGTTGTTTCTAAAACTGGCCAACATAAATAGTATCAATAAAGTTGCAAGAAAGGCTGCCTTAAACTTTTGTACAGTAGTCTACCCCTAGGAAAAGTTTCTTCTGAATCCATAGTAGAGGTGGCTCCTACCCTGAAGCATATGAGTATATACTTCATCCAGATGTTACACTTTGCTAAGCCTTCCTATTCAAGTCCTGGTTATTCTGGCAGTCTCTGTAATTGCCTCGTGCTTCTGAAACTGCTACTGAATTCTTAACTTCAGTGCTGCTTTGTGGCAGTGTTTTGCTTTGGATATGCCCTGGGTGAGAAGTATGTTCCGTTAGTTTCTAAGATACCCCCTGACTTTAATCTGATTAGTTATTCCTTTATCGTCTTAGCTTCCACTTGATCTTGTGTCTGCCATTCATTGTTTGGTGTGCTGTAATGATGTCCCTTTTAACCACCATTTCTGAGCAGTGCTTCTGCTCACTCTCTGCTCTGTGGGTCTGGAGTTGAAGCTGGACAGGCAGTGGTTGATGTCAGCTGTGTGCTTTCTTCTTGTGTGATGTCTTCCCACAGCTACCTAGCCCTGTACGCCTACAAGCCTCAGAAGAATGATGAGCTGGAGCTCCGCAAAGGTGAGATGTACCGGGTCATTGAGAAGTGCCAGGATGGCTGGTTCAAGGGGACGTCTCTGAGGAGTGGGATGTCTGGTGTCTTCCCAGGCAACTATGTGACGCCTGTTTCAAGGTGAGGACCACTCACCAGAGTGGATATGCCTGAGCTGGGACTGGGAGGGATCCTGTGTCTAGAGGATGCTGAAAACAATGTAGCTCTGCTTTTAAATCACATTCCACTTCCAGAAATTTTCTAGTGGCAACGTTGTACATTGCAGGCTTGGGTAATGAGACTTGTTGGTTGTAGCATTGGAGTTATCCATGTTCTCAGAAGACTTCGCCAGTTGCATTAGATGATGGCATTTACAACCCATGACTTTGTTTAATGTGCCCAGATTTTACTACTGTAGACTCTGTTGGCTACTGATTTTTTTTTATTGCTATAAAACTACTGGACGTGTAACGGAGATAAACAATGTAAGGAATATTTGTGTCTTGCTTTTCAGTAGCTTCTCATGTAGATTTTGGTTTTCTTAAATCAAATGTCTTGAATTGTTTGGATCAGGACTAATGTTTGAACTATTAAAATTCAGAAGTGGCAGGAGAGTTCAGTAAATTGTCTGATTTTAGCTACATTTGTCTCAGTTGTAGAAGGTTAGAAAAGAAAAGAATAGCATGTTTGGGGAGGAATGCCATTTGTCAGAGTTCAGTATTGAACAAGAGCAAATCAAATGGTGTTTCTGATTTAGAGACCGCTCTGAAATTGTCAGCAAGCTGAGGAGAAGGTTCATCAGTGTGCCCCAGACTGTTTTGCCCCACTTGCTCATATCTCCTTTAGAGCAACCATGGGCTTGAAAATCAAACTTACTCCTACTCATATGCTCTCAATCTCTCCTCCCGAACTCACACAGTCGCCACCATCTTTCACTCCTCTACAGAGAAAGGCACCTCACAACTCAGAAACTATTGATCTTGAAAAATCAATCCGGATTTGTTCCGTGTTGATCTTAAAAAATTGATCCAGGTTTGTTCCATCTTCAGTTTATGTCAAGTTTGTAATATGTGGAATGAGTAAGACCAAAAGTTAAGAGCGGGTAAGAAGATGATTACTAAGCCTGCTGACAGTCCTAATGTTGTGTTTCAGTAAAAAAATCCCATTAATTCATGGGGTCTTCACTGTTCATCAACCTAAATGTATTTACCTGATTTTGTAGAGCCCCTTGGCTGCCTTCACTCCTTGCCTCTTCGGCTCTTAATTAGTAAAGAAGTTCGTGCTGAAGTGTCGGTGATCTGAAACAGCAAGACTTTATTAAATGTAGCATGTCACAGCTAGAACAAGACAGAGAGAACTGCTAAAGGGCAAAAGTGCTTTCCACAAAATCCAAAAGCAGCTTTATTATTATATTTATGATCCTGTGAGCTTATTAAGTTCCTGTGTAAATCACCCTGGGTGAAAACAGCAAGAAAAATCTGATAGCAATCAAATCTCCTATTTGCTGCACTTTCAGCTTACTTTGTTCCCCTTTGACAGCAAAGCAAAGGATTAGATTCATACCTGGTTTTCTGCCACTCCCTACAAAACCCAAGAAAAAGAAGTCGCCCATAAATTTAGCGACACTGAACTAGATTTATAAGCTGCCAAACCGCACGTGTGAGCAGAGCACGGTGGTAAAAGGACAAGACCCTTTAGATGGACAGACAGGTACAGGGCAGCAGAGAAAATTTGCCATATCTAACGTCTACCCAGCTCTGTGGGAGTCACAGATAGTTTCTGTACCTGTCGGTGTGCGTGTTTGCCTGAACACAGCTCTTGGTGGACTATTAGGTGTGCTTTTCTGGCAAACTCCATCTAGTGCAGATGGCCAAGCCAGCTCCAGCTGAACCTTGCTGCTACCCTGCCAGCTCTTCACAGCAGACGACAGACAGTCAAGATTTCCATCTGGTGGGATTCCCAGCTTTTCCCAACCTGGAGGCTGATGAAAAAAAAGGAGAAAAAAAAAAAAATTCATTTAGCAAAATGTAATCCAGGCAAATCTTGCACAATGAGATGAGTCAAGGATTTTATGACACCCAGAGTTGTTTATCCTCCTGTGATTTTGGGGAGAGAGGGGGTTGGGCAGAGAGGATGGCTGTCTTTTGCACTTTTGGACCATATCTTCCAGCCAGTGTTTTGATCTCTTTCTGTCAGAATTTCACTCTTCTTTTTTCCACTCTTTTCTCAGGGTTGCTTCTTATGTCTGTCTTGTCCTCTGCATCAAATCAAATTGTTCAGCATATTCATTCTTTCTGCTCTTCTCCTCTCTGTGTTCCCACACCACAATTTTGAGGCCGCAGAAGTTCTCCCAATCCCACCAGCCATAGACTGGTCTTGTACCCTTTCTCTTATCCTCTCCTCTCTTGCTAACCCCCTGCACTGTCTCGTTTCCATTTCCTCCACCATACTTTTGTTCTGCATCATATTGTCTCTGCTGTCCTTTCTTGGAGGGAAACCTTGGCACATGAAGCAGCCTGGGAGAGGAGAACAGCGCAAAGTGATCCCTCTGTTTCATAGCATCTACTGCTGGGGAAGGAAATTACTCAGGAACCTCAGTAAGAAACTCAGAGAAAGAGCTTCTGAGCAGCAGCTGAGTTTGTCCATTGATGTCCTTCTATCCACTCCAGTGTCCTCCTGCCCTGGTCAGAGAGTTTCTAGCTTGGTGGTAAGAGGACCAAGACTTGCTCTAGGCTGAACTCCTTGCATAGGAGAAAGAGCCTCGTTCCTTCCCTCCGGGGTCTATCCAGCCACTCAGATGAAATACGAACTATGCATACAGTTTAAGTGAGCAATGAGAGAGGAGTCAATTATTGTTTGGATCTCCTTTTCAGTGAGATCAGCTGTGTTCCCTTCCCTTTTGTGTTTCCTTAGCAAGTCTAAGCTAGGGCTGGTTACATCGGTAGAATAAGAGTTCAGCCAAGCCAAGCCCTGCCAAGTCTGCTGCTCTTCAGTTCCCTTCAACCGCCACGCGCAGATTGGTATTATCCATCTTTTTTTCTCCCTATGGGGCTGTGTGCAGGTTTGGTCCTAAGAAAAGATCTCTGAGTCTGTTTTAATTATCACTCCATTAGTGCCTGTAAAATAGCCTCTGGCACACAAAATGACATTTGGGAGATACCCATTTCTTCTGAATTTAGGATTGTGATTTCACTAGAAATTATTCAGTCAGAAATGTAGCTTAGGAAGATAAGTGATGAGAAAAATTATCTTTTCCATTTTTACCCTGTACTTCTTCCCACAGGATAAAGGTGTGATAACATCCTCCAGCGTGCTTACGACTGTGTCCTATAAAGATAAATATATATCTCAGTTTATTTTAACACCTGCGAGGGTACCGTGTTGAACCCCCTGAGTAACTGGGGATGCTTATCAGCGTGGTGGCTGGGTATCAGGGTCTCTGCAGCGCACTTACCCTATGCCTTGTCTCCATGCAGGGTACCAGTGGGAGCTGGGCAACCCAGGAACAGTGGAGCCGGAGGAGCTCCAGTGACGAAAGGAGCCCCAGGAGCCATCCACCCCATCGGGGCCAGTCACACCAATGCCACCACGACTGTCAGACCAGTTGTTCCTATCACTGTGCCTCAGACACATCCCCAGCTACAGGCGGCCGCTCCACAGCTGAATAACTGCTTGAGATATTCAGCTCAGCAGCCAGCCAGCCAGGCCCGCAACGCCATGCAGATGGGTACGTGCGTGCCCGCCGGTGCCTCTCACCCCGCGTCGGCAGGATTGATGTCGCGCCCCTTGAGCGCGAGCCTCTCGAATCTGCCCGGCCCCGCCGAAAGCTTGCTTTCTCCTTTTAGTCACAGCTCAGTCAATGTGGAATAGAGTATGTTTTATTTGCTTGTAATATTTATGGGCTTCTATTGATCTCTGGGAACCACGTTGTGTTTATCAGATTGTTCTGTTGCTACAGCTGAAATAGATTATAGTGTTTACAAATATTTATACAATTTATCTGAGTGAAAGCAAGCACCCTGCATACTGAGGAGATTAACAGTTCTGAGTCCGGTCGGCTTGCTGACGGAAAAATACTGCTCTTATCGCAGTGCAAGTAATACACGACTTAAAATTAAGAAGCATTTCATTGGGCTTCAGGGATGAAAGGTATTTATTAGGCAGAACGGGACCCGGTGTTAGCGATAAAGCAAAAGATCTGAAAAATACTGCCACCTTTTTGAAATGCGAATAAGAGCTTCTCACACCAGGGGGCCTCTGTTCTTTCTAGGTTCCCTTTCTGATGTACGGCACAATTTTCCAGAGTACAATTTAGTCCT